TCATTAAATCGAAAAAAAAAAATATAAATATGTATTTGTAAATCTTGTTATTTTCTAGTAGTCCATATAGGTAATTTACATTGATATAGTTACTATACTTACTAGGAAACTGGAGAACCAATATAATATTAGTTATTTTTATTTTTTTTGCCGTAAATGATGAATTAATTTAAATTTAATATAGTGTTGGTATAGGTTTTTTTTGTAGAGTTTGTTAAACAATATCCAATTTATGCAGGTGGTGGTCGTAACTCGCATGTATTACAATTGTAAAAATTACAAATACAATCGTAGGTACCTACGACGGGTCGTATACTCGTATACTTATACTGCAGATGAAACTCTATTAACATTTTAGCATTTACAAATAAGAGATAAAACGCAATAATAATAGATACTCTTCCAATAAGTGCATCCATGAAAAAACTTACCTTCGCAGAGTTTCTACAGTGGGTACCTTACGTAAAATTAAAAACTGGCTTAAACAATAATAAAAAATCGTTAAACCCGCTATATATAAATCATAGTTGTATAAAGACATATATAGACTGCAATATTAAAAAACAATTGATTAAAAAAGAAATGATCATTGACAAATTTTCAGGAAAAAATTATGTGCTTTTAGATACTCCTCCTATAATATTTAAGATGTATAATGCATATATATGGATGTATGTATGAGTATGCATGTATGCATGTATGTATGAATGATTATGTATCCTTAGTAAAATTATGGTAAAATAAAATAAAAAATGATTCTTCTATCTTATTTAAATCTTCACCCGTTCCTAAGTAATTATGCACCACAATTTCGAAGTGTATATTAATTTTAGATTGTTATAAAAAAAGGTTGGATACCTGCCTTACATAATATGTGAATATATTATGCGTATTAACTATGAACGATCGAGTGTATAGTGTGTATACTATATACCCAATTACTGTACGTATCAGACGTCTGTACTGCATGTCTGCATGTGTATATTATTATATAGCAACGAATAATTGACACAAAATATAAAATATAGGGCTGCACTTTTTAAAACCTCTGAAATTCGAATCTTGGCAAAAAATATAGTGATAGTATAATATTAATAGGTATAGACTTATAGTTGGGCTCCACCTCACACTCGACCATTTTATTTAATTGTATAGAAATAACTTTGATCACACAAGTGACGCTTAATCACTGATTAATAATCAGTATAATAGTATAATTATACTACAGTCAAGTCGCGATAACTCGAATCGTGTTTTATTCCTCTAGAAAATGTTTCCGCTATAAATTAGTTAGATATCTCGAATAATACATATCTCGAAGTGAATTTTTATCCCACTTCAATTATTGGAGTTATCGTTACTCAACTGTATCATACTGATTTAGCTAAATGCTCATGGAGCGATAATAACTTAGGTTCAGATTTCAAAAAGCATGTTCCGCAGAGTTCTCAGAATATATTATGAGGATTGAGGATAATGTTTTATATAGTATACACTATACACTACACATATTATTTCCATTGTAAAAACATAAACAGCTTTGAAAGTATAAGGACGCACAATGCATACAACACGCAGTCACAGTCAGACTTACCATAGAGTTCTATACATATATAAATTAGTATTTAGTATAATATAGTATTAACCTAAAATCTTTAACAGAGCACTAGTCATAGTCATTATATACTCGATAGGAGTACAGGACGTTAGAGAAGGGCGTCCGTCAAAACATTATAAACATCTCGTTATAGATGGTTTTGTTAGCTAAATGAGTTATAGCCATATGGCACTTAATGATTTAGGTTTCTTCTGTATACCTTGCAGAATTCCTTATTTATGCACTAAAAACATGTATTTTATAAGGGATGGGGATAGGGGCGATTGCCTGATATACAAAACTTTGTTTAAGCGTTTAAGTAAATAAATAATGCATTTATAGTTTCTGCTTATTTAGTTGCTAATTCTATTGTTGCATTGGTTATTTGGTTATTGTTTATTAGATTAAAAATTTGGTTAGGTTGAAGGGTCAGAATGAATGGGGCCTACAGGCTTATAGACTTATTGCAGGAGCGGCACTTTTAAATACTTTTACGACTTTACGTACTCTTTAAGTTTTAAAGGTCTTGTTTTGGGTCGTGATGGTTAATAATATAATATAATGTGGTATGTTTAAGTTTAACTGTTTAAGAAATAATATATAATCGCATTTATATCGGTTTTTAATGCGGGTAAATAAGGTTATAGGTTATATAACTTATAAGATATTATAGCCTATAGGACAGCGGTGAGGTCATTCGATAAAAAACGATCTCCTCTATATAGATATCAATATATTTTTTGATACGAGTATGCAACAATATATATTACTTAAGTAAATGATTCAAAAGCTTTTACCCACACAAATTTAAGCATATGTATGAATTACTACGAGTTTAGGTAGCTGATATATAAAATATAAAATATATTAACTGCTTTAACATGTTCACAGTTGTGGGGATGTGCAGGACTGCAGGGGTTCAAGATTCAAGATTGCGACGACGTATAATATATATTATTTTATATACCTATACACGAAAATAATGATCAATAAACTATTTTAAGTTAGGTATAACATTAGGAGATACATTTTATTTTTACGGGATATACAAACACGGATTACAGCTGCGGAGTACCTCATGCACACTGTATATAGCATTATAATTATTATTTATTATATTATATTATTATTATTATGCAGTTATGCGATTGGAGTAGGTTAATACTTGATTGGGTACACACACTACGCGCAACTATACATTTGGAATTATATATTATTATATTATTTATTAATAATAATATTGTTTTAAAGTACTAACGTCATCATTATAATGACGACGGTTTTCCAACCCGCGGCGGTACAGACGTACAGTATATTTTAATGGGTGTAGCGTGTGTTTCAGCGCGAAATTTTAGATCGACCGCCGCTGCCCAAAACCACCACAACCAGCACAGCGGCTGCAGCACGCCACGTTTATATTCAGTTCGAAAACGAGCGGGTCATGGTTTATTATTATTGTGCGCATGAAAATCTCTCGTCTGGAATATGGTATGCACACATCGCGCGTATCGTGTTCAGTCTCCGGTAGTCCGGTCGGTTCGGCTCTCGTATTATTCGTATACAGCCGCAGTCGTCGCGTCCTCCCCCCCCAACCCGTTCTCGTATACTCTCCCTAACCTAGGACACGCTGCGCATACACAACACCGCTTGTAGGGGGTGTCTGCGACGGGCGGGGGGAAAGAGGGATGCGGCGACGGCGACGTCGACCGCGTTGACGCGGGAAAAGAATATCGTGCGTAGCCACTGCCACGTACGAGACGCGAAGAATCTTGTGAACGAAAATGGGAGGGAAAATAATAATATTTTTAAAACGTAGAAACCAGCGCGACGCCAACAGTGCGTATATAATACGCGACGATACCGGACGGCGGTTCTGCGATTTCCAGTGGCGACCGCCGACCGGCTCCGGTGTGACAGCGCCCCGAAACGCACCACCACCGCACGGCGCTCACACACACATATATATATATTATATACAATATTATTACGGCTATTATAATAACAACGCGATATATATATATATGTGTGTATGTATATAATTTAGTATATAATATACCATACAGCAATGCTGACTGCTGGCTGCTGCTGTGACCGGCCCCCGCCGGATGGGAGTGATTTACGGTTCGGGGCGCATGCGCAGTGCCCGTCCATTTTTCGGTTGGGGGATACACGCCGCGCCGGCTCCCTCGCCTCCCCACACTCTCCCCGGGAAAAATGCCCCGTCCGTCGCACGCCGCACAATACCTTAATACTAATAATAATATATATATTTACCATTTACGCGTCACGTATAATATTATTATATTGTATTATATTATTATACACCACCCCGAGTGGCGCGCGCGCACGCACCCTAACCTAACACGACGCGTTTTTCGTGGAGGCCACAACATTTTTACCATACCACCGCCGCCGCCGCCGCCGCCGCCTGACGAACCAGCAGAACGACGAAAACGTGCACCAGGCCTCGATGCAGTACACGAACGCACACATTCGCGCGCGCACGCAGCTCACGAGGACCTCACACGCGCACCATAATACATTTTTCGATACATTTAGTATTTCACTGTGACTTTAATACATAATACATTATAAAATTTTGATATTTTAACCGTGACTTTAATACATACAACTGTGACAAGAGTGTATCCGAAGGACCTTTTTTTCTTCTCTTCTCCCGCCGCCATAACATCGTGCGGGTACCATTACGGACGACCGTTAATATTATTAACAATATACTAGGTAATTAACAATGATACTACTAATAAATAATAATAACAATAATAATATAATATCATGTCGATAATGAGATGAATCCCCCATCTATCGCTTTCCAATACTTATTTATTATAAAATATCATGTATATTATGTGCTTGTTTTATATCTAATTCTATAGGGCGCTGTAAGCTCCCATGAAATTATGTATACCTCTATATGAATGTATTATAGTATTATACTTTTACATAACACAACGCCGAACGCGTGTTCTTGAGATTATCGTCATCTGGTGGTTATTTTTCATCGTAATATTATTGTATAACCTGTATATAGAGGTGTATTGTTTTCCTCGTTTTTCCAGCAGCCACTGACTATACAGTCTGCGATATTTTATATTATTATACGACGTGTGATCGTACCCAACTATACGTCTATACATTTGAGATCTATATACTTATTCTACATTTCTACATCTATCTACATCCCGCGCACCGCAGTGGTATCTCGTATTCTCGTCCCTCGCATTTCATACATATATATATATACCTACTAATTTACTTGCACCAAAAATGCCTCTATGGCAAACGTCATGTGTAGGCTTGTAATATTATAATATATTGTTTTCTTGATTCGTATGTGTTTCTTACAGGTGCCGAACACGCCGAGCCACGAACCTGCACCAAAATGAGTGAAAACAATTCCGAAAACAATCAACTCTTGACGGCGCCTTCTAACGGTGGTGAGTCATTGTAGATACTGGGTTTATGATTTTACGTTTCAGACGAAAAAAACAAACATATAACGAAATTAGATAATATTTATATAATTGCGTACAATCGCAATTAATACTATATGGTTACTCGACGTACTTACTACTTAGCCGGATTATAATTACTTATTTATAGTAGGTACACTTACCGAATTACAATTACTCTATTACCGATGAAAGTTTGGCAAATTCTATAGTATGAAAGTGTATTCAATACTCGGTAACAATTAATCTTACAATATAGGTAGCTTCGCAGGATATTATAGATTCAGTCATTCAGAGGATTATTCTTACTTCTCGGCTCTCGCACCATCCGCGATATGTGTAGGTACTAATAAACGAGACACTAGTAAACTACAGACTACTGTCGACTATATAATAATATTCACGATTCGTTTACAGTCAAGGCGCAGTTTTCTAAACAGCGCAATAAGCTATTTTTAGGCTATTTGTTTACGACAAGATCTAGAGTTCTTTCGGTATTATAAATCCGGCGATTGCATTTTTATCTTATCACATATGCATGTGTCATTAAAAAAATATTATCATTGACTATTTGAATAGTACCTATATCATAATATATTTTCTGTTTTGATGGTTTTGGACGTTCTAGTGGTTCTAGATATCCCGCTATTACGTGTTAGTTTAATTATATTATAATATTATATAGATATATACTATGAATTAATTTATGATTATGTATACTCTTACATAATATATAATACTGTACAGCATAATAAATATCGTTTTATTTAATACAGTGAAATTTGATTGGTAAATCCTTATTTAATTACAATTACATATAAAGTAAACTGTTGAGTTGGTCTATTAAAATCATGATTAAAATGTGTAATCCAACAATATACCTAGATAAATGCATTTAGGAAGCACCACTTATACTTTAAGGTTATATAATATCATACACATTATACAGATTGCAGGTGTTTCTCGACACTCCCCATCTTTTAATACGAATTTACGATCGTACCTATATATAATAATATTATGTGTTTTCGTTTCGTTGTATTTGATACGAATATTTTCTATATTTGTATTTGTATTACAAACCACGATAGATCGTTCATCGAATCCCCGAACCAAAGGCCAACGAAAAAAGTCCTGCTTAAAATGTCCCGAATTTAATAATTATTTTTGTTTTTAGTAAACTTTATGAAGGTCGAAAATTACAAATTTTTTACACTGCCTAATCATTACTTATCTTTTTGTAATTTTAAAAGTGTATTTCTCCGGCTAATAGTTTGGTTATTCTGTCAAATGCTCAGTCTGTGACTCTGTGTCGATTTTAAATGTTACGAAATCCTTAGGAAGAGACAAACAATAAAACACAATTCCATAAATCATCAGGCTCCAAACATTACGCTAACGTATTAATTACTCCAAGTTAAGTGTTGAAAAGTTTTTAATTCAACTGTAAAGTAATATTTGGTGTGTAATGTCATAACTCATAATTGATATAATATTTTTAATTTTTTTGTGTAGGTTTTTGGTGTATAATATAAATATAATTTTTTACCGGGACTTTTTAGGAAAAATACCAAGTTCATTATACGTCTATATAATAGTAATAATACATTCTTCATTCAGGCACATGTTTGACATTAAAATTCGTCTACCAAATACCATTAATAGTAAATTGTCCTTTGTAACATTTTGATATCTAGCCGAGTATAGTCTTAAATTAGGCTCGCTGTTAAGAATACGTTAATATAATATAACACTGCACAGTGCATGTACATGTAAATTAGCTATAAAAAAAAAAAAAATAATAATCTGTTGTTCACATTGTTGAATGATACACAATGATATAGGTAGTAACCATCATTTTATGTTAACAGACGATTTGTCTTTCCGGTGTATTATTGCACACGGTAGGTGCATACTGCATACATATATTGCTTAAGAACCGTATAATTATGCGTGAATTAATGTTTATAAACCCTAAAACCCAATTATTTCATCGTTAATATCCACACACGTAGGTAGGTACTTTAGTTATTTACTAATAAATTGATTTACAATATGCTCAGTTTCATATGATTTACCAACAATATTTTAAGAATGCAAAATATTTCACTTATGTGTAAATTAAACGATACCTACTATAAATATTAAAATATATTAGTATTATATTCGTTCAATACAGGCCGAATTAACACTGGGGACTTAAGAAGCTATAGGGCGTATTATTAAGAAAATTCAAATTTAGGACGCCAGTATTTTCAGCTATATCTTAAAAAATATTCACAGTATAATATTGTATCAACAGATTTGAAATAATGCAAAAATATTAATTCTGCAATTTTGGGTCAAATTAAGATTGATATTGGAAAATATGCGAGTGAGGGCCAAAACTCTTAATCCGGTCCAGCCGTCCAGGTCTAAATGAATATTGAACTATAATAATAATTTTCATACCGAACATAATAATGGTATATTTTACTCCGTTGAATATTTTATTATTTTACGATACCTTCCTATATTATGCAGTTTATTAGATTATTTTCAACGTTGGTATTCGTCTTTAAGAAAACACTGTGCCCAAAGATAAAATACAACGCGTGTTAGTGTACCTACATGTATCTAAGGTGGGATTATTAGGGGCAGATTTTTATTTTAGGCAGGTGACAATAAATTATGGAACGCCAACAATAAAATAAAAACGTTAACGTGACGTTTGGTTATATATTATATCCATATAGGTATATATTATAATATATACATTATAGGTACAAAAGTATTATATATAGCTATAATAGTACCTACTACCTGAGATATCGAAGATCACATCATATATTATATATAATATAGTACGTATACTGTATAGTATATAATATTATACACAACGATGTCGGTGCACGAAAAATATGTATAGAAGTGTGTTGCAGCTGGCGTTTTTAAAAATGTTTTTCTCCTTCCTAAGGGTTTGCGTCGTCGACTGTTAAGGGTAGAAAATCAGAACCGTGCAGGTAAACGAGACGGCAAAATGCAGATGGTTCATGTTTTAAACGTATACCTACACAGAATTATATAGATATATATTATGTACAGTCTTCGTGTTCCAGTGCTACGTTGCCAAAACCTTCTTCAATAATTCACTCTTACCGAGGGTATGGTATACTACAATATATATATTATTTTTTTTGTAAATATATCGACCTTTTCAATTATATTCGATTTCGAATAATGCTGTGCGGCGTTGTCGTGTTTTTTGGGTAGCCTGTAGAGCCCAGAGGTACCTAGGTACACTATACCGAACTACCATTATGTTATATCCTGCAGTAGGCTGGGTTATATGCAGTATACAACAATAATAATCTGTACCTAATATTTCTTTGTACGGATTTCGTGCGTGCGCGTTTGCAAGATGGAATAAGAAACATACTTTGTTGGTCTAAGAATCCTGAATTCTACACAGTGTAATGCACCCAACGATCTCTTGCAGGACCACTGTTCCTTTTTTAACGACTTAGCACGTCATATTTGCACAACGACGTATAATTTAAATAAACAGAATTAACACCAGTTTAAATTTTTTAATAATAAGTTATACGTTGAAATAAAATTTTATCAATAATCAATTTAAAGATAGAAATAAAATATACTACCCGAAAAATATTACATATAAGTAACTGAAAATGTACGGGGGGGGGGGGGGGGTGAACGGCGATGTTCTGCGTGGAGCAACTACTAATCTAAGTACTACAATTTAGGAGGTAGAAAGTTGATTAGATATTTAGATCTGTCTATTCTCAATATTGAGAAATAGTTATCAAACAGTATTGTCAATAAACGTATTTAATTACTCAAAACAATAGGGCAATAATAACCGCATTGCCGTCATTATTTTTCGATGCTTACATTTAAATTTATAAATGTTCTTATACTGAGTACGTTTATGACAGTACTCGGTTGAACAATCATTTCAAATACAATTAATAAATTCAAATCATAGAGGTTTAGGTCAAAATTATTTAAATTGTAGAGCGCTATCTACCACCGTCTCAAACTTTATTAGGTACCAAAAGACACGTGTTTTCTTCAAATTAGGTATATAGTTTTTTCTCAGTAAATCAAGCTTTCAGTTCGATTTTTGAAGTTTTTCGAATTCTCGAGAGTATAGTAGATAGTTGTAATCCATTGCTTTGTTCTTATTTTAATAGAGGTCTTAAGTTCTCATAATATAATATAGTGTAACTTCCATGTTCCATATTACGAAGTCTCATGGAAAACAAATAAATTCGTATAATAAAGAATTTCGTTAGATATAGCCGATATAGGTATAGAACTATAGAATTAAATAAGTTTGGATAAAATTTGGAAAATTTCGTTTTGTCCTTAAAAATAATTCGTTAAACAGAAAATGTTTTTAAATGGAAGTTCGTTACATCGAAGTTTCGCTGTATATGGCGGAATTTATTAGAAGTTTGTTGTCAATAAAATATGTTGAAATTACATTTAATACGGAACAATAATAAATAATAAATTGTTCCATGTTTGAAATATTGAATGCTCCTGAAAATTCTCGGTGAATACTCTACGAAATTTGATGCTTATGGACGTAGTGTAAGCCGATTTATCGAAATTGATTAGTCCGTGGATGACATGGCTTTTCGGTGGGTTTCAAACTGTTTAAAATTGAAATAAATTAAATTGTTATATTGTTTGATAACATATAGGCCTTTAGTCGCAACTAGAACTACATTTTAGCGGCTACTAAAATCATGATGTATACTTGCTTTGCCACACACACACCCCCTAAAAATATATTTCAAAATCATTAATGAGTAACTTCTGTATTATTACCTATTTATTTGTATATATTTTACTTACAAAGTAAATGTTTGTCTTATTATTAAAATATAGTATTTTACAAGTTATACAACCATTAATCAATACAACTAATACAAATAATATATAGGTACTTTTGATATTGGTTGATAAAAATATAA